CAGGTCTAATGAGTCGGTGATGGCATCCAACCATCTCATCCTCTGTGGTCCCCGTCTTCTCCTGCCCTCAATCTTCCCAGCATCAGGATCTTTTCCAGTGAGTCAGCTCTTCACATCAGCTGGCCAAAGTATTGGAGTTTCAACTTCAGTCCTTCCAATGAATATTCAGGACTGATTTCCTTCAGGATGGACTGGCTGGATCTCCTTGCAGTCTGGGGGACTCAGGAATTCTTCCAACACCACAGTTCAACAGCATCAGTTCTTCAGCAGTCAGCCTTTATGGTCCTACTCTCACATCCACACATGACCACTGGAGAAACCATGGCTTTGACTAGACGGACCTTTGTCGGCAAGGTAATGTCTCTGCTTTTTAATACACTGTCTAGGTTGGTCATAGCTTTTCTTCCAAGGAGCAAGTGTCTTTTAATTTCATGGCTGCAGTCACCATCTGCAGTGATTTTGGAGCCCCAGAAAATAAAATCTCTCACTGTTTCCATTGTTTCCCCATCTATTTGCCATGAAGTGATGAGACCAGATACCATGATCTTAGTTTTCTGAATGTTGAGCTGTAAGCCAACTTTTTCACTCTGCTCTTTCACCTTCATCAAGAGGCTCTTTAGTTCCTCTTCTCTTTCTGCCATTACCAGTATGAGAAACTAAAAAGAAGAAATCCTTACAAACACTACATTAAAAATATGAGATTTTATAAATGACTGTACACCAGTGAAGTTAAAAGATTAGACAGAATGAACATACTTCTATTTAAACACACACACACACACTTCTTACCAAAACCAACACAGAAAGAAACAGAAACTCTCTGGAGCTCTGTATCTATTAAATACAGTGAACCTGTTATATAAAACCATGCCATAAAGAAACCTCCATGCCCAGATGGTTTCACGGGTGAATTCTACCAAACATTTAAGGAAAAATAATGCCATATTATACACCTTTACGAAGGTCTTCCATATATCTCAGTCTTGTCCAGCAAAACACTGAAAGCAAAACTTGACAAGACCCAATTCAGGAAGGGTTTGACAGGCCGGTCTCTCACAGACCTGGATACGAAATTTCTTCATGTCGTTAAGGGATAGTATTGCCCCGTGATCTATCTGTGAGTGAGCACTGATTTATCAAGGGTTACTTTGGTTTAAGAAGTGTTTTATGGGTGAGATGACAGGAAGAGCAGAGCAAATAATAGAAGCGTTTGTATTTCCTAGTGAACTTTTACTGAAAGATTTGTAAAGTCGATGTTCACTTAATGACTTCGCTTCTTACGTATTTGCTTTAGCTCTGTGCCCAGAAATTATTTTCTGTCACCACATGAAAAAAATTACATAAGCTGATTAATTCTCATTCTTGTGGACATCTATAAGCATTTTATTAACAAGATTGTATCTATTTTCTGGTGCCTAGTACAGACCATTAAAATACAATACTATTGATATAATACTTACAAACCATTCACCTGAAACAAAAATGACAGCCATATTTTAATTTACCTTTTTGATTCTGGAAACTTAAAAACTTCTTGCAGAAGTGGGGAGTAGTGAGGCTTTCCAGGGTTAGTTGCACATTATCCATGTAAAATAGTTTTTAAATAAAGCTGTGATTCCTTTATTTTTCTTCCTGGTACAAATAAAACAATTCACCAGTGGCTGATTACTCTGTAAAAATTTGAAATGTTCAATAAGTGTTGAAACATCTATTGTTTAAAATGAATTTTTCATTTATTACATATAACCAAAATTTAATTGCACATGTGCTTATTAATGGACTTATAAAAATGATAAATAACACTTTCTGTAAATGAGAAATCTCTTTAGTTAAGGTGCAAGCATTCTTCACTTAATAGTGAAAAATAGTATTTGATTTAAATTTCATGTTTCTCATAATAATGCTATTTATTATAATAATAATAAATTCTTATTTAACATAATAACAAGCTCATTTTAATGGATCTTGTTAATAACAAATTTATTCTACATTAATCTCTATAAAGTATTTGAATTATTTGAGTGATCTGTAAATATAGAAATAGAGTCTTTAAAAGTAATTATTTTTTCAGTTAAACTTGTTTTAGTAGATTTAATATGCTAACCCGGGCATTCTGTTGTTTAGAGTGCTTCCAAAACCAGCACACTCACCTCTGGGACTTTCCAAGCAGAAGTTTTAAGTCCCCTAATCTTTTTTGAAAAAAGAAGGGGTTGATGTTGGAAATATGCCAGGAGTAAGCCTTGGTATTTCTCATGAAGTGCCACAGTGAATGTGCCCTCTCCCACAAGTCAGTTCCTTTTATCAAAGTCAGAATCTCACACACAGCCATTTCCAGAAAGTCTGTCTCCACATTCAAGAAAACAATAGGCCAGATAAATATATTTTTAATCTGTAATTTTGTACAATTCCTATACTTACTTCATCTGGAGTTTTAACCTTTATTTACCAAATTTACATACCTGTCAGTTAGTACAAAAGCACTTTTTCCTCAGTGTAAACAGCTTAGGAACATCAAAAGTTAAAATGAGTAGTTTCTACTTTTTCTTTTACATCTCACCTAATGCTAATATTTGGTGATTTAACCTAAATGTCCATCAACAGATAAATGGATAAAGAAGATGTGACACACACACCATGGAATAATACCCAGCCATAAAAAGAATGAAATGTCATTTGCAACAACATGGATAGAACTAGAAATTATCATACTAAGTGAAGTAAGTTAGCTTACTATGTGAAATCTAAAACAAACAAAAGAAACAAACGAACTTGTTTAGAAAAGAGAAACAGACTTACAGGCATAGAAAACAAACTTATGGTTACCAAACAGAAAAGGGGAGAAGGGATAAATCTGGAGTATGAGATCAACAGATATATATCCACTGTATTTAAAACAGGTAAGCAAGAAGGATTTATGCAATAGCACTATCAGTATCTTGTAATAACCTATAACTGAAAAAAGAATAAATATAACTGAATCACTTTACTATATATCTAACACAGTATTACTATATAGACTAATGCAGTGTTGTAAATCAACTATAGTTCAATTTTTTAAAACCTGAGAAAAAACTGGTGCTTAGTAATAAGACACACTCCAGAGCCAGACATCCAATGTTTGAATCCTAGCTGTGTCACTTATTGCAGCTGACCCAAGGGTAAGTTATTAACCTCTATGCCTCAGTTTCCTCATCTGTAGAAAGGGTATAGTGTTCCTTGCAAACCTGTTGCAAGGATTAAATGAATTTGTAAATGTAAATATGCTATTAGTATTTGCTATTGTTGTCTCTCCAGAAACTTCCTTTGCTTAGACAAGTAAAATCATGTTTTTTATTATTTTTCACAGACATGGGGGACGATATTCCTCTGTAACTAGCTTTTTCTACTATGATACGGAGTTGCTTTGCCAAAGGATATTTGCACTTTTAATTTTTTTTTAACCAACACTACAGATTGCTTTCCAAAAAGTGCAAAAGTAACTGGGCAGGTACCCCTGAGGCTGCCCAGGAGGGAGTCAGAAAGTCAAGCAACCAGCAGCACCAATGGAAGTGCTCTGGGGTAAGGGTCTTACCTGACCCTAATGTGGCCGGGTTCCATCTGAAAGCAGACCGTGATGCCACACTCATAGTGCAAACCCTGAACTAAAAGACAAAACAGACAAGAGGTATATAAAATAAGCTACCAATGGAGAAAAAAACATAACCCTAAAAATACTCAAATCATCCAAAAGGAGGTAAGAAAAACATGAGCAAAGATGGAACAAATAGAAAACAAATAGCCGGACTTAAATTTTATCATATTTATAATCACATCGAAGTGAAGTGTTGGTCGCTCAGTTGTGTCTGGCTCTTCGAGACCCCTTGGGCTGTAGCCGGCCAGGCTCCTCTCTCCATGGGATTCTCCAGGCAAGAACACTGGAGCGGGTGGGTAGTCATGCTCTTTCTCCAGGGGATCTTCCCCACCCAGAGTTCGAACCTGGGTCTCCTGCATTGCAGGTAGATTCTTTACCATCTAACTCCCTTATCAGCTACATGATTTGTAAATATTTTCTCCCGTTCATTAGGTTGTTCAAGCCTCAAGGCAATCCACTCCAGTATTCTTGCCTGGAGAATTCCACGGACAGAGGAGGCTGGCGGGCTACCGTCCACGGGGCCGCAAAGATTGGACACGACTGAAGCGCCTTAGCACAAGCACCCAGGGGGGAGGGCTTGGAGGGGCGTCGCTGACACTTCTCCAAGAGCTTGCGCTGCTCTTTCTTCTTCGGCCGAGGCGCGCCGCTCGGGGGGTCTTAACCGGCTCATTTGAAAAGACCCTGATGCTGGAAAAGACTGAAGGCGGGAGGAGAAGGGGACGACTGAGGATGAGATGGTTGGAAGGCATCACCCACTCGATGGATTGAGCTTGAGCAAGCTCCGGGAGTTGGTAATGGACAGGGAGGTCTGGCGTGCTGCAGTCCATGGGGTCACAGAGAGTTGGGCACGACTGAGCGACTGGACTGAACTAAACTGAACTGAGCTGGGCTAACCCCCAGGGAACTGAACCTGCGCCCTCGGCAGTGATCGCGAGGAGTTCTCCGCGTGACCCTTGGTCGCGAGGCATTCGCTTCGGGAGGTCCCGGCCTGGAAGCCTGAGCGCAGGCTTGGGGCGCGCGCCGGGCGGGCCGGGGCCACCGGGCTACATTCTTTCAGGGGAATCTAACCCCCGACGGTCCCGGGATGCGGGCCCGCAGTGTCCGCGGGAGCCTCCCGAACGCAGGAGCTCTGCGGGGGCGCGGCGAGAGTCCCCGGATCACCCTCAGCCCCACAGCGCGCGGGACGCGGGCGCCACCCCCAGAATCCCGGCCCGGCGACGGGCGCTGCCGCAGGAGGGCGCAGCGCGGGCGGGGCGGGTGCCAGGGGACGGGGCGGGACGGGGCGGGACGGGGCGGACCCGAAGCCCCGGGCAGCTGCGCCTGCAGCAGAGGCCTCAAGAGCGGGCCTCCGTCCCCCGCCCTCCGCGCCATGGCCTCGCGCGCCCGGCGGCGCCGCCCGCTGCCCGCGCCGCTGGTGCTGCTGGCGCTGCTCGGCCGGCTGCAGGTAAGGAGGCCGCCCGCCCCGCGCGCCCCGCGCCCCGGCTGCCTGCGCGCCCGCCCGCGCGCGGTGCTTCAGCGGGGCCGGGGGCTCCGAGACTCTCACGGAGCCGGGGGGCTGAGGATTTGGAGCGGAGAGCGGCGGAGGGTGCGGTCGTACGGTGGGAGGAGGGAACCGGGGGCTGTAGGGATGCTGGGGTGCAGAACGGGGAGCTGCGGGACCCGGGCACCCGAACGCGGACGCCTCCAAAAGCTACCCAGGGGCAGGCGTCGGTGATGGAGCGTCTAGAGGGGCCTCCGCACGATCGCTGCCGCGGAGACAGCGGCGTAGACACTGCCCCTTCCCGTGTGGACGGACTCGAGAGAAAAGTTCAGAACCGCAGGCAGCGCCCAAGTTAAGCAACTGTCCTAAGTAGGATTCTCCTTTCGGGCCGTTTTGAGCCCTCGGTCCTTCCCTCTACCTGCGCCTCGCACTGTCTCCCCACCGCCGCTTGGCGGCTGTCGGAAGGTGGACTGGCTGATGCTCGCCCCGCGGGGGTGTCCAGGGCGCGCGCCGAGACAGGGTTTGGTAGTTTAGTGGTTCAAATGGTAAAGAATCCGTCGGCAGTGCAGGAGACGCTGGGTTCTCCTTCCAGAGTTCCATCCCTGGGTCGGGAAGAGCCCCTGGAAAAGGGAATGGCAACCCACTCCAGCATTCTTGCCTGGAGAATCCCACGGACAAAGGAGATTTTTTTTTTCTGAAAAAGGAAATAAGAAAAAAAAGAAAATCAGATTACTTTCTTACGTTCCCCTCTTTCCGTACGTCTCCCTTCTCCCCTCCGATCCCACCGCCCCCCACCCAACTCCCCCGAACCTGCAAACAGTTTAAGATCCACCGGCTCAGGTTCCGGGCCAGAATGACATAGAATCACTTCTCAGAACCCCTGTGATGATGTTGGGACAAAACAGTGTTCACAGTTGGAAAAACCAACGCACCTGGGGCGCCTGAAGTCAGTCGGGGAGCAGGTGAGTAGGGCGCTGCTCTCCGGGTGCTGAGCCGGCGGGCAGGCGGGGCAGTGGGCGGCCTCACCGCGGCCAGGCCCCGCTGGGGCTCCAGCCCGGGAGCAGCCCAGGACTCCCCTCTGCGGCCTTTCCCCTCGAGTCCCGGGGGCTGTTCAAAACTTAAGGGGGCTGGGGGGCCGGGAAACCAGTATCTCCCGGATCCGGGTTCCCTCCCCATCCCAAGTCCTCTGGACAGAAGTTTCTCTATCAGATCACTTGGTCCAGTTGCCAGGTGAACAAAAGCAGTTACTGGTTTTCTGTTCCCCTGGAGGAGAGCTATAGGGAAAGCCAACCCCACAGTCCTCTGAAAGCCTTGGAAGTCCCTCGGAGGGAAGGGCAAGTGCTGGCGGTTTTCTGCTTTCAGCAGTTTCAGATTCCCCTGCTCTGTTAAGACTGGCTTAGGCTCTTGCTGACAGCTTCCAGAGGGAACAGCGCTTCTAGGGCTGTTTGGAGTGAGGAGAGACGGCAAATCAGCCTGGGACTAGAGCTTGGACCGGAGTACAGGCTGTGGGCTGGAGCCGACAGTTCTCAGAAAGACGCGGCCTGTCCCCTTTCTGCCTGCGGGAGCCTCTGGGAATGGCTGGGGGCAGGGAAGGCGGGAAAGCCTGAAGGCATTTTCTCTTTGTAAGCACTTCAGGTGTTGCCTAATGAAGTGTTCAACAGGTTGGACGGGTGTGCTGCCTTATTTGAACCACAGGACGAGGGCTCCAGGGAATAGCTACCACCTGAGAAAACCCTGCTCACTACACAGCATGAAAAAAAAAAAAAGCATCTCACAGTGTTAATTACAAAAACTTCGTATGTACATATATGTGTGTGTATAGTGCTGTAGGTTCTAACATTGACAGCAGTTTCTGTCAAAACTTCTTTCTCAGGGCTTCCCTGGCAGTTCAGAGACTCCATGCTTCCAATGCGGGTGACATGGGTTGGATCCCGGGTAGGGGAACTAAGATCCCACATGCCTCACGGTGCAGGAAAAAAAAAACAACACAAGCCAAAATACCCGTTTATTTCTCAGAGCTATCTTTCAGCAAGTGCTATCTCCCCTACTACCCCACCCTTTCCCTTTGAGCTGCATGAATTATGTGCATTTTAAAATCATACCTAAACAGGAAATGGGGCTTCCCAGGTGGTTCAGTGGTAAAGAATCTGCCTGCTGATACAGGAGACTGTGGGTTCAATCCCTGGGTCGGGAAGATCTCCTGGAGAAGGAAATGGCAACCCACTCCAATATTCTTGCCTGGAGAATTCCATGGAGAGACGAACTGGCAGGCTACAGTCCATGGGGTTGCAAAGGGCTGGACATAGCTCAGCGACTAAAAAACAACAGGAAACAGTGAAATGATACTGGAATAGCTCTAATCAAATGATGTAAGCATGTGCCCAGTCTCCCCGTTGGAGACGCGTTGATCCTGAGCCGGGGTGGTCATGTTCCCCCCGCAGAGACTGTGGTTCCAAGCACCGTCCTGCAGTCACGGCTGCTTTTGGCCCACCTGTTCTGTCAGTTCAAAGAAAGAAATTGCCTTGGTGATTAGTTCTCACCTGCTAGGCAAGGCCTGAAGAACTGTTTAGTGTGGGGAGTGGGAGAGGTATCACTTTTGTAAAATAGTTGGCAAAAACAGCTTCCAGAAAGTGCCTTATCTGCAAGCATTGTATTTCGTTTCATTAACATTATATTAAATCTATTTAAACATACCTGGAAGGCTATAAGGTTTGCCTTTTAAAACATCTCTGCGATTGTATCTCTGTGCGCCTGTGTCAGTGAGGGCATGTGAGTTCAGACAGAAGAGTATTTGTCTACAGAACGAAAAACAGAAAACTTTTATGTTGATCTTTCTGCTGTTGGAGTTGAGAAACTATAGGAGCAGACTATGTTCATTGAGGTAATTGATCACACAGCCGTGTTTATCCCTAGTAATCCAAGACCTAAGGGCAGAGTTGCTCATACCTGGGCCAGCAAGCGTGTTTGGTATTTGGGATGTAAAACCTTGTGGTGATGAGACAGAAGGCCAAGACACAGCTGGGTCTTCACTGTCCAGTCAAGGGGACAAGGCGGGTGAAGAGTAAGACCGTCTGTGACACGAGGCGGTGAAGGGAAGGAGGGAGGGATACAGGTGGAGGAACCAGGAAGGGCTTCGGAGGGGGATGCTCCTGAGGCCATCTTTGAAGGACTGCTGGGAAATCAGGGGTCCAAGGCAGTTGGGGAAGAAAGCTCTCTATTGGAGAAGTTGGCTTGAATGGTTTAGGGCTAAAGCAATCTTGCCAAGAAAAGAAAACCCACATATTTTTATGACTTTATGGCTAGCACATAGGACTCTGTAAAGCTAGCTGAATTCAAGGAACCCTGCAGCAGACAGAACAGTAAACATTTACAGTCTTTGAGATAACATTTGTATGGCCCTTGTCAAGGTGGTGAGGTAGACTAACCAGGAACAGAGAGCTCGTGGGCCCTGGAAGGCCCTTGGGGAGACCCCACCGAGGAAACCCCCTGGGTGGGGCTGCAGGGTTCTCGGGTGCCCGCCCTGGCCCGACAGTCTCCCTGCCCCGCCAGCCCATCCTGGCGGGAAGACCTGGCCATGTGTTCCTACTTTGTTTAGAGAGTCACAGACTCCAAGATCAGTGTCCTTTTCGTTGGTTTTGTTGATCACAGATATTTCAAATGCCCCCCCCCATTATTTCCTTCCCACCACTTCCCCTGAAAATGGCACATCTGTAATCTGAACGTATTCTCTGTGTTGATAAGGAAATATGAGTTTGCTTTTACAGTTATCTACCAGAAATTCTTATGCCAGGAAAACTGAAACAATAAAGGTGTATCTTTGAAGGTCAGTAAATCAGTGTTTTATGAGGCTATGAAAAGGGGAGTTCCAAGCCAGGGCCTCCTTTGCAGAGAGTGCTGTTTGAAGAAGGAGCCACTTGAACTTTCTCTGCCAGCTCAGTATTAAAATTCCCCCCATTCTGTTTTCCTATTTTTGAAGTGAAGTGCATGGGAAAGGAGAGCAGAGTGTTTTCCGCATGTGTGTCCAGAGGAGGCTGGCGGGCCCATCTTGCTGTGGGCGTGGGTCTGCATCCCGCCTGGACGGTCCTCCGCTCTCCAAGTGAGTCAGGCCCCAGGGCACCCACCCTCCGGCCAGGGAGGCGGTGGACAGCCATGTCCTGTCTGCTGTCTGCCTGCAGAGTCCAGACCCCAGCCTGCAAGAGAGGCAAACCCGATCCCACCTCAGCCTCCCCCTGCCGCAGTGGGTGGGATCCTGCCCCACCTCCGCCGGCAGCTGATCCCACCACCTGTAACTTCCCCACCGGCTTCTTAGGCAGTCAGGTCGTTTCTCCTTGTGTGTCCCTCCGGCTGCCATCTGGGAGCTCAGGCACTCAGTCGTGTCCGAGTCTTTGTGACCCCATGGACTGCAGCCCGCCGGGCTCCTCTGTCCACGGGATTCTCCAGGCAAGAGCACTGGAGTGGGGTGCCACTTCCCGACCCAGGCGTGGAACCCGCGTCTCCTGCCTCCTGCACTGGAGTGGGTCGCCATCCCCTCCTCCAGGGGGTCTTCCCCACCCAGGGACTGAACCCTCGTCTCCTGTCTCCTGCACTGGCAGGTGATTCTTTAGGACTAGTGCCACCTGGGAAGCTCCAAGCCCTGGGCTGCCACGTGGGACCTTCCCGTGGGACCCACTGCTAGAAACACAGATTAAACTCCGCGCATCCTCTCCGCCCCAAACCAACCTCTGAGTCTGCAAAAACCCAGAGTGAGACAGTGGGCTTCGGCAGAAGACCTGGTGGGTCTGATTTCTCAGCGAGCTCGTGAGGTCTGACGCTGAGCGGCGGCGCGCGGCCCAGCCTGTATCTCTGCCCTCCATCCGCGGGCGCTGTCAGCCTGTTTCCTGCCGGGCCGGCCTGCCGGCTCCCCCAGCCCTCCCCCGTGCCTGGCCCAGCTGGTCTAAGGCCCCGTCAGCATTTACGCTCTCGCC